AAAAAAAAAAACGTCCCCGTTTTTTAATTTGTGGATAATCACAAGTGAGATTTCAGTGATATTTTGACCACTGAACCAGGAAATGTGGTCACCTTAGGTTAATTACCATGCTAATGTGTATATATGTACTATACAGTGCATCTGTCATGTTAATCTGTATATATGTGTCATATGTTATGTTTTAAGGCTATGGCTCAGCACTTCTTTGGAAATTCAGGCTCTATGACATTGCAGTCAACACCCAAATCTGACCATCACCATTCATCAAAGGTACATATGATTTTATACTTTGTGGTCAAATGTCTGATAATAGTATTGCTGCTAAAGTGAATTTCTTTTCGATGCAGATGCCAGATGATGGTTTTAACTCAACAGGTGAAACTCTGTCATTTGTTACCCTGGATGACAGCAATGAGCAGCAAAGGTGAGCCAGCAATAGAAAACTTGTTCTTGCTTTTTAACTGTTGCTTGAAAATGTTTTTGGACATTTTGCCAATTTATCACCCTATAACAGTGAGGACTCTGGTATCAGTGTTTCAAAAACCTCGACTAGAAGTTCGCTGGGCAACAGTACTATGGAAGATGCGGCAGTGTTATCTCCCCCAAATTCACGAATAGATGAGATTGGAAAGAAAGCACAGGAACTTATTGAGAGAATCAATGAGAGCCGGGCCATGGACCAACATGTGATGAACAGCTTTGAGGAAAAGCTCATTAAAAAGGTTAGATAAAGACAGAACATTAGTGCTTGACTGATGTGTATTGTTTAAGTAGTCAATGTAGTTGGCTGAAATAATACAAGCATAATATCTGAATATATTAGATGTATCAGAATATCTGTATATCATAAAACATACAGTATGCTTAAAAATGATGTTAATAATGAAACAGGATTTGGCATTTAGTTAAGCCAAGCAGGTACATGTGAATTTTCTCAAAATATCAGCCAATATTACTACCGTTTTCACTGTTTTTTTATTATAATTTTTATTGTCAAAGAGAATATAAATATTTCTATTTCACCATTTCATTCTATAACACTGTACATTTAGACATTTAAAGGAATAGTTCACCCAAATTTGCTGAATTTACTTTCCCTCAGACCATCCAAGATGTAGATGGGTTTGTTTATTCATCAGAACAGATTTAGAGAAATGTAGCATTACATCACTCAATAATGAATCCTCTGCAGTGAATGGGTGCCGTCAGAATGAGAGTCCAAACAGCTGATAATAACATTCCAATAATCCATACAACTCCAGTCCATCAATTAATGTCTTGTGAATGTCATGTCCAATAAAGAAACAAATTCTACACCTTGGATGCCCTGAGGTGGAGTAAATTTTCAGCATATTTACATTTTTGGGTGATCTATTGTTTGCATCTGTGCAGGTGAGTGAGATGTGTCAGCAGGTGAAGGAGCAGATGTTTGAGTATTATGAGCAGCACAGTCAGGGCATGGAGGCCAGCATCACTGAGCTGTCGGAGGTGCTGGAGAAAAGCAGTCAGCTGAGTATTGAGCTACAGGGAGCCAGTCAAACCCTGGCCGCCATCAATAAAGGCCTGCAGCACAGCACAGAGCAGTAGATGCACAACCAAACTAATCACACTGTAACTTAACATGAGACAGAGTACACTTATATGATTTGTATGTTACTTAAAGTAATTTAACTTATTGAAATGTTTGAACAGTTGCTTATGTAAACTTGTTTTTTTTTAATACCATAGTATGTTAAAGAAAGTTCAAATGCACATTAATATGCTGATTTGTGTTTGCATGTCTTGAAAGTAATGTCTTCTTTAAAATTAATTTTACATGGTTTACCTAAAGGTCTCTTACTATCATTTCTTTTAAACCCCTGCAAATGAGGTTTGGGTAACTGGATTATTTGGGTTTCAATAACTAAGGTTTGAGCTTTGTAGGATTAAGGCTTTTCCCCACAGCATTAGTTATTGAAAACTCATTTAATCTGCCAATTCTCTTTATGGCTTTCTCAGTACAAATGAGCTGCTCTAAATGAATACAGAAAGCAAGATACAACACCATTATAAAATGAGGATTTGATAACAGACCTTAGAGCCCCTCAGTACAATGAAAACCAATGTGGAAACACTATAATATTTCAACTTTTATTCAACTGCAGTAAATTTTGTTTAACACGTAATTGAGATCTTTCTATGATACATCAATGTACAAACAATAACATGCACTTTTCATCTCATGCGATCCTTGGTGCATTTCTTTACACATCTACTTAAAAAAAAAAAAACTGCAGTCAAACCCTCAATTAAAGTGTTGTGATCTAGTGAGAACATAGAAAAATAGATCTCTGAGACTACATAAAGTACAGACATTCAAAAATGACATGCACGAATTAAAATTCTATGTTTTTCACCTTTAAACACCAGATGATGCAAACTTGAAAAGCATTCAGGAACTATATGGGCTATAGGTCAAAGGCAGCAGCAGTCAGTGGACATGACAGCAGCTCATTTGCCCACCGTGAAAGACTGCAGTCCAGTGATGGCTCTGCCCAGGATCAGGGCATGGATATCATGGGTACCTACAAAAGAAGGCATTAATCGATGTTCAGCGACATGCAGAGTTTCTGCCTGATCTGATCACTTTATTCAGATCTCCTTCACTCTCTAACCTTCATAAGTGTTGACGGCTTCCAGGTTCATGACGTGACGAATGATGTGATACTCGTCTGCGATGCCGTTTCCTCCCAGCATATCTCGGGCCTGTCTAGCGATATCCAGGGCTTTACCGCAGGAGTTCCTCTTCAGCATAGATATCATCTCTGGTGCCGCTCTGTAGTTTAGAGAGCAACGATCATTAGCTTGAAAATGCTCCATTAGGGGTATATTTCTAATAATTTAAACATTTTCTCACATATTAATTCACATTTTTAAAAATACCAATATTTCCTGGTTTTCCATGACCCTGTGGCAGGTTTTAATTGCACCAAATATGTCTTTGTTGGTTGTACACTCAATCCCTGCATCCTCACAACAATAATATCCAAATCTATAAATCCAGTCAAAACTGCAGCAGAATAAAGATGAACCTCACTTTTTATCATCTATCAGTCGGCCCAGTTGAAGACACGACTGTAGGCCGATGGCGATCTCAGTTAACATGTCTGCCATCTTCTTCTGGATCAGCTGGTTTCTGGCTAGAGGAACTCCAAACTGGATTCTAATGGGAACATTACAGATTATGTTACATGCTGAAAAACAACATATGCAAGAATGAATCATAAAGAATTTAACCACAAGGACAGCCAATCTTAGCAAGCAAGCAAATTTACTGACATTAACATTTATGTATTGAAATTCTTCCACACTTTTCACATTATCCAGTGACTCATGAGTATAGATGTCATTAAATAACAGATGTGCTCTGACCTGTCCAGTGTGTACTGCCGCGCGGCATGGAAACAAAACTCTGCGGCTCCCAGAGCTCCCCAAGCAATGCCATAGCGAGCATTATTCAGACACCCGAACGGACCCTGGTGAACGAGGAAGAAAATCGCAAATATATTAGCATTATGTAATGAAAGCCAATAAGAACTGAAAACAAAACCGTATTATGGATTGACAAAGTGGTCAGTAGACTTTGGAACTGAAATAAGGACTGACAAAATGGACAACAATTGGCCAATTAATTTTTGAATGTTTATTTGTATAGGGACAGTGCAAAAAAGTTTCAGCGCAAAAAAACATGCATTACATGTAAAGATTAAAGCACATGCATCTAATTCGCATCTCTGGTCCCTGTAGGTGGCGCTTATGAGGGCAGCTGCATTAAGCTCATGCTTCATGCTTGTTTCTTTTTGATTTTTAATCCATTTTAATTAGTATTTGTTAGGAAATACACTGTTACATTGCTTTTTAGAAGATAATATGTGTACTATGGGGGCCTAGACATGTGGATTAAATCAGCCTGAAGAGATTTTGGTTGGATTCTAGGAACTGTGGCCTTTGCTTTATATGGAACTGGAATGAGTTAATTTGCCTGGAAATAAATCCTCTATCAATGGCACAATTTGGATATAAAATAAATTTTTTCAAGTCTGAAGAAATTTGCTGAGGAAATACTACGATTGCAATCTCGCCCAAGGGGTAAGAAAACTGGAAAAATGAATATTCGTGCAATATGGTCTTGTTTTTTTTTGGCAATCGAAAATGAACAGAACAGAATAGTTCAAATTTCTAATTACTAAATGACTATAGCTCTGGCGTCTGTAAGCCAGTGCTTTACCATTATTGTGAAAGACGTCATATATCTAGTATTGATTTCAGTACTTTGCCTACTAATAATAATGCAAAGCCAATAAATGTCTTTCTCACTCACCGCCAGTCCTGAAACTTTGGGCAGCAGGTTTTCCTCTGGCACTTCCACCTCGTCCATGATGATCATGCCGGTGGCTGAAGCCCGCAGGGAGAACTTGCCTTCGATCTTAGGGGTGGACAGACCCTTCATGCCACGCTCCAAGATGAAGCCACGTACCTTCCCATCCTCGCATTTGGCCCAAACCACGCAGATATCAGCCACTGGTGAGTTCGTAATCCTGTGCAAGAGATGGGGGCGAGTGTAAGATGATAGAAGAGACTCTGCCACTTCTGGTGTCCACAATATAAATAATTTCACAAAATGTGTAGAGTCCCTCAGGAATAAGTCCTAAAACCCAGAAACCAGTTAGCATTTTAGCACTTATGGTTCCACTAATTGTTTTTTTTTGAATGGGTGTTTGGTTAAATACCTGGTTAACACAAGCTCAAGATATTTTCACATTTTACTCTACAAGTGAAATATATCAATAACATACCCTTGTGATTTTTTTAAAGCTTTTACTAGTCTGCAGCGTTGCTGTTTATAACTCCATTCTAACTAAAACTTTCAGGGAAAATGTTTATTAAATAAAGATTTAAAGAGTTGCATCTGTAGTTCATTTGTAGTCTGTTTTTTTTTTTCTTTTTCTGACAATTATATTTAGGCTTCAAAATTCATAACTGTATTTATTTGAGAAGATTATCATGATGAATAATCCAAAAGCCAATGGAAAATCCTATTGGCTTTTTGTCAAGTAAAACAGGGTAATGCAAACTTCAGGGTTGGCCAACAAAAATATGTCATCACTATAGCACAGTGGCAGCAACTGTCCATTAAGTGAATGCAGTCTTTAAAAAAGGCTCATGGCACCACCATGTGGACACAGTTTGTAAATGCCAGTGAATGTTACTTAACCTCATTTTGTACAAATGGATTGTGATTTCTTGAGTTCATCCATGCAGTCCCATGCATTTGTGAACTTTGCTAGTCTTTACTGTTGTCCTAAAGCTTGTGCGTTATATAACCCACCATGTCTTGGAGCCGGTGAGTGTGAAGGTACGACTGGATGGGTTGTATTTGGCCCTGGTATCCATGCTGCCCGGGTCACTGCCATGGTTTGGTTCTGTCAGTCCAAAACAACCTAGAATCTCTCCTCGTGCTGCATGACACAGAGACAATAGTGGGTGAATCTTACAAGCAATACTTAAGCTCAAAATCAAAAGATAAAAATTATGATCCATTGGGATTTTTTGCACTGACACATTTTCTGAATGTTTGGCTACTGATTTTTGCGGTCGTACCCAGCCTGGGTAGGTATTTCTCCTTCTGTTCCTCTGTGCCGTAAGCATTGATGGGGTGCATGACCAGCGAGGACTGCACACTCATGACCGAGCGATAGCCGCTGTCCACTCGCTCCACCTCACGCGCGATGAGACCGTACGCCACGTAACTTGTGCCAGCACAGCCGTAACCTTGATAGGGAAGTGTGCAAGAGTGAAAGAGAGTTACAGAAACGTACAGATGGTTACACTTTGAACAAATAATCAGTTCTGTATTTCCTGACTAGGTATTAGATGACGGGAAGGGTATATTTTAACAAATCTCTTGATGTACGGCTGCATGATTTGGGGAAAAGACCTATTTGCAATTTTTCTGAAAAAAAAAAAAAAAGTGATCATGATGCATTACAAGTGACCCAAACTCGGAGCAGATGCAGAGATGAGTTTGTGTGGATCAGCATTTACTGCGAACCGAAACAGTGAATCATGAGCTGCTTCAGTTTATTCATTTCGTTTATTCGTTTATTAATTGTTTTCATGTAAATGAACACAGTGGCGCGCTTTACTCTGAAACATGCAGCGCATGTATTTACTGAATTAAATTGCAGATTTCGATTTTATTCCAATGAACCATGCAGCCCCACTCTAATATCGACTGCTAACCGATATGGGACTGATATATTGTGCATACCTTTAATGGTGGGTCCCAAAACACCAAGCTCCCCCATCTCAGACACAATCTCACGATGAAAAACTAGTGGAGAACAAAGAGCAGTTAGTTTTAAAATGCTTTAAATCAATGGGAACTATTTTAGAAGTCCTATTGTAAACTATAAGCTGTCAATGTGATATGAATATACACACACCTTCATTTCTGTTGGCCATCAGGATGCGCGGCATGAGTTTCTCCTGGCAGTAGGTGCGAAAGGAGTCTCGAATCATGATCTCCTCCTCCGTCAGGAGACCATCCAGGTCCAAAGCATCACGCCAGTTAAACTGCGCTTTAGCTGAGGTTTATATCACAGGTTAGAAACGGACATGCA